AGTAGGCCCGCCTGTGCTCGGGGAGAATGCTTGAAGCGCTCTTCTTCATTGACAGAATGAGCAAAAAATATCTAAGTCTTGGGGGAGGGCGTAGTCAAAGCAGAGGGAAATGGTCCCGACCACGTTACGGATGGAGTTCGGGTGGAGCTGGTCCAGGGTGACGTTGAAGTGTTTTAAGACCTCAACAATGAGAGGGTGAAGAGGAAGGCGGAGCCCGGCTATGAGCTGCTCCCTTAAGATCACAATCTCATCCAAACCGTGCTCCCAAGGGAAGTTACCTGCAGGCAAGCTGTAAGTGTACTCCCTAGGGAGATTGTACTGTTGGATAAGATACTGGAGTCTCTCTAGGGTCATGATGGAAGGACCGAACTTATCCGGCATCTGACCTCGGTGAGAGGTGGACGCCAGATTACCCGAGGCCTCTCGCACCTCGTGAGACGACTGGACTTCGGTACAGTCACCCTGAGCCGAGGTACCCACCTTGGGCTCAACCAAAAGACTATCTAAGCTAGACATGATAAAGAAATGAACTGAAAAGAAAAAAGAAGCTCGGGGGACTCACCAAAGAAACGCAACCAGACTAGGAAAACTGGACGAATTGAAAGACCCGAGCTGGAGACCTCAGACACGAGCTCAAGGCGAATGTAGAATACTTGTGGTGAGGAAAATGACCCAGGACCCCCACTATTTATAGCTGCTATGCTCGGGCATTGACAATCAAGATCAAGATGATCTGATGGCTCTCAAGAAAACCGGCTACACGATCCCCCAGGCAAAATCGGTTTAACGTGTTTTTTGACGTCTGCGTAGTCCATAGATCGTGTGACGTCCGCGTGTGAACTGTATGCGACCCAGGTTACTCTTGATTGAGTTGAGCGATGAACCAGTCCGACCAATGAGCTGCCTGACAAGACGGCCTGAGCTCCGAGCCAAATCCACCCGGCACACTGTGAACTCCCCGCGCTGGGTCAGAAACCCCAGCACGGGGAGTGGGGGGCAATTGATGGAGGGTGATTTGGCCCGACCTCGTAGCATGGGGACACGTGGACATGACCTGGCATAAGTGACGACTCCGCGTGACAGCCTGGACATAACTCAACGTAACAAACTCGTCGGAGCCCAGCCTGACAACTCGGCGGACGAGGCAACTCGCTGGGAAGTAACACCCAGCTTACCCGAGCTCCCCCCAAGCGAGGGGTCCCGAGCTCCTCTCAAGACCCGAGCTCCTCCTAATGAGCTTCGAGCTCTTCCTCCCCGAGAAGGGAACACCCCGACCTCTGGCTAAGTATCCCGAAGTGGAAACACTTCGGGCCAGCACCATCAACTCCCCTAACTTGTCTCTAAGGGCTCGCCTCAAGCGGAAGCATCTCGGCGCATCACCAGTACCTCGGTACAGAGTGGCTCGGCAGACGACAGCTCGGCTCAAGATAGCTCAGTGACTTAGAAAATATCAGCCTGACAACCGTACCTGCCGAATTTGGAGCCTGTGCCCACGTCCCTCGTCAGGCGGCGTTGTGCCTGCCATCTCTGAAAGATGTCTCTCGCTTGACAGGTCTGTACCTTGCAACGGCTGCCTGCGCCCGCCACCTCAGCTCTGGCAGTAATTGCAACAGAGAGACAGAGGCAGTTACGCCTGACTTGATAGGGGCAGTTACGCCTGATTTGACAGAGTTGCAATATAAAAGGGCCCCAATCCCCAAGGGTGAAGGTAATTTTTTGACTCAGCGATATCTGCACTCTTAGCTTTCTTTACATTCTCTACAACTCCCTCAGAGTCCTAACTTAAGCATCGGAGTGTTCCCACCGGGCGAACTCCCCAAGAATCCTTCACCTTCTTCTTCTTCTCAGGTACCGTCCATTGCTAGGTAGGAGCCAGATTTTCGCCAAATAAGAATGCTCGGATCGCACTACATTACAATTCTTTGTTCTGCATACTTGTTTTACACCCCTTGAGTAACCAAATGTAATGGAAGACCTATCAAATATTGAATGGAAGTGACAACTAAGCCAATCCAAACACTAATATAGCTATAAGATACCTCTTTGAGTTTGGTTATGGTAGCTCAACGTCATATTCTGCTTCATAAATTATTATTGATTTAACCATTTTTATAATCACAATTAGTATAGTTATTGTTAGCTATAACCCAAGTTTATTAATATTGTAAAATCGAAGTTAGCACAAGATCTAGAGGCAACCTCATCTTATTAGATTTGACAACTGTTGAACTCCCTTCACTTTCCCTCTTTCTTTCCTTTTCTGTTAGATTCCCTTCTCTGTCTCTACCAATCAAAACAAGTTGGCCTACATTTGTTTTCTTTGATTTTCTTCACATCTTAACAAGGGTGAGAGGATAAAAGAAATGAGAGAAGGTTCTGAGCTTATGGGCATTTTTGGAATACGAAAAGCGTGCATTCAAGATTTTATATATTTAAATAGAATCCTGGTAGAAGATGATTCCTGCTTGGCCATTAACAGCTTCAAGGGTAGGATTGTCCCACTTTGAGACATTTAATATGTATGGTCATATATAGAAGAGGCAAAGCTTTTATGCAGAGTAATAAACAAAGAATTTGGGGTAGGGGGGATCTCCAACGTGAACTGCATTTCTTGTTGTCACCTGTGACTTTCAAAAACAAAACTAGTATAAATTGATTTTATATGTGTATACTTTGTTTTCAAAATTTAAACCAAAACATTTTCTTGAAATTCTGGTTATTTAATACCATATCCTATAAATCCAATAACTTCTAAACAATAAAATTTGTGTTTTGGTTTAAAAATTATTATTTGGTAGTTCAAAGAACATGTATTGTCTTTCAACTTAAGGGCATTTCAGGAGTGGTAACGAGTTGAACTTTTTACGGATTGTTCGAGCTCAATTCATTAAAAGCTTGATTTAGCTCGATCTAAACTGAGCTTTGAGTCGAACTCGAGCCTAGTAAAGCTTGGCTCGTGAAGATTGTGAGTCTAATCAATATAAATATATTACATATTCATACATACATATATTTATAATAAATATAAATATATTATGTATATAAAATTTTAATTTTTATATATAATAATAATAATTAATTTTTTGTAATTCATAATTATATATATATATTTTATTTTTATAAAACATTTAATTCACAGTCGAGATTGAGCTGATCTGAATTTGAACTTCCGAGCTTTTTTGACTCAAGCTGAATTTGAGCTCAAGTCTCTAGCTCGAATTGAGCTCGAGCTTGATAGTTTATTAGCGAGCTGAGCTTGTATAAACAAATATTCGACTTGACTCGACTCAAATCCACCCCTATTCAAGAATATATTTTTTTCTTGTTTTATTTTCTACTTTGACAATTTCAAAAATAAATTAAATTATAAAAACAAAGCATTCATGTTGGAGAGACTGTTACACCACCCCTTACAATCTTGCATTGGGAGTATGGGAGAGGCTTTTCGAACGGTGTAAGCATGGGCTTGTACTGACTGAAGCTGGGCTCGGTGGTCAATCCGTTCATGCTCACACATGAAAGCTATTGCGGCTTCAAAGCCGGCGCTTATTCAGTAGAGCATCCAGAGAGAAAGTTGAAACGCATTAGCGCACTCCAACTTTAGAGCAACCTGATACATTGCATCTTAATTGGAATCTACTCTCCTTGTCGATCGGTTTAGGACCGATCTCTATCGGTTGGTATAAGAACTGGATTGAATCTCCAACGATATATTAGGGTCTGCTTGGTTCTTAGTTGAAATCGGAATCAGAATGATGTATTTCCATTATCTTTTTGGTTCAGATAGGAACGAAAATGAGATTTAGAATTAATAAAAATGAGATTTTATTCTCAAGGAAGGGGTAGGGAATCACCATTCCCTCAAATAGGGGAATACCATTCCAGCAGGAATAGGAATGGGATTCAATTCTACTCAATCAAACAGCTGAAATCGGAATAGTCCATTTTGATTCTAATTTCAGACCCCTATTCTTGTAAATCAAACAAGGCCTTAATAATTCAGTAGTTTATGATCTGATATAGGGGTGTTCAAACTCGGTTATCAAATCGAGAACCAAACTGAATAACTAAATTCGGTTTAGTTATTTCAGTTTTTGGTTCGGTTTCAGAAAAAATGCAATCGAACTGAACCAAAAACCTAATTAGCCAAAATATACACATATATTTATATTTTAATTATAAATATTCATGTTAATATTAGCATTAATATTTATATTAATAATAATAATAATATATAATATATGTTTCTTAATCATAAATATTGTAATTATATTTTAATAATAATTATTAATATAAATATAAAATAGATTTACATTTTAATTAAATGAGTTGACCGAATTAAAACCGAACTGACCGAATGGACACGTACCGTAGTCTGATATGATCTCTGAAATTCAAAAAACCGCACCAAAATCATAAACCAGAATTTAAAAATTTTTCAGATCAAATTATGGGTTCGAATTTGATATGGAAAATATATGATATTGGCCAATATACTGGAATCATAAACAAGGTAGAGAATGGAGGTAGAGAATCAATTGTTTTCTTTTTTTTAAATCAAGAGAGAAGACGCTCACCAGATGTTTCTTTTATTTTTTGCTTCAAATCAATTAATATTCGGTTGGCTGGATTTCGTTTTGGTAATGGCTGGCATGTTATTGATTTTTAAGTGTGGTTGACTGAGATTCTCCAACTATCAATAATAATGTCACATCGGCATCTTATGAGACTAATTCAAAGAACACATAATATTTGAATCTTATAAATAATTTACCCAATTTATCAAATAGCAAGTCATACTGTGTTCCTCCCTGATAGAAGATAACAGAGGGAGGAGTTTTTCCCAAATAAGCTAAGTAAGTTTCTATCTTTTCTGTCATTGATTTATGTTTGTAGGTTTTAGATAAAACGATCGGTGTCAAACACTGACGGCACTTGTTGAAATCGGTAGAGTATTAGACTTTTTAATCTGTATATGCCGCCAAAGATCTAATCAAATCATGTGCTTGAATGCCAAAGTATTTTCCCTTATCGTCATTGCATGGATAATATACATTGTATGCATCTCTCATCCACCGGCGAACTCTAAGCCATCATTTGTTCCACCGCCGAACCCATCTTTTGTCCAGCGGCCAATTCAACACAAGCTACTGAGTTCCACAGGTTCAATCAGGGCTGCGTTTTGGCCATTATGGAAGACGGGAACGCATCTTCCATCCACCGTTGACATCTCAAACTTGACTCACCTCATCCCCTCCATCTCCATCGACCGATTAAATAACACCACTTTCACGTCCTTGACCTTTCAATCGCTGCTCACCCATACTTCCAGCATACGCTCCATTAACCCGAATTTAAAGATTTTTCTCTCCACTCGACAATCAATTCCTGATGACCTTGCTGTCTTCATCAGGTACATCAATGAAATCATTGATAAGTACGTGTTCGATGGCTTTCACTTCGATTGGATTTATCCTGGCCCTTATGTGAACATGTCAAAGTTGGCACTAGCCATTCCTGAAGCCCATTTTCATTTCTCTCTCAGCACCCACTGTTTTGCTAACTTTTCCTTCTCCGAACCCCCGAACGACATAATCATCAGGAAGGTAGCCTTTATAATGCCCGTGTGCTCTGATTACGATGGCGTTACGAATAAGGCTTCAGCCATGAACAACACTAAGCTTAGATCCGGCCTCCGATCGTGGATCAACGCCGGGGTGCCACGGGAGAAACTGGTCGTTGCCCTTCCTCCAGACGTCCAAACATTCTCGGCAATCCCCAACAAAGTTGATAACACCGAGGAAGATGGTTATTTAGAAGCTTTAGGTGGATGGATGCTGTTTTCGAATATATATACCCCGTCTAATGCTGAAAATTTTCCAACACAAGGAGTTCTTCCTATTCTTATTATTGTTCTTGTTCTTCTTTAATTTGGTTTGGTTTATTTGTTGTTTGTTCTTTGTATTTCAAATATATCATTGTCCTTTATAAGTTTGTATATCAGATGCATTTGAATATATAATACAGGTTATTGTAAATTTCATAAGGGTATACGTAAACAATTTATGCTATGTTGGATGATTGAGGCGGTGTTTTGTATTGCTTCCCTTTATTTGATAAACAGTATCCCATCATGCTGATCTGTATGCATGATTATTCACAAAAGTGTGTCTTGATTTATGTGCATGTTAACGATGGGAGAAGATTTATTTTAACGTTTATCCCAACGGTTGAGCGTTTATTCACTATTCCGCTGATGTGGTGCCTAATTGTCAATAAACAGTTTATTAAGTTTCTTAGTTTTGAAGACAAATCGAGAGTAAAACTTTATTAAATAAACAGAAACTATACCAAACACATACTAAGGGGTTACTACAATTTGGCAATACCTTTCCCAAACCATTTATACTTATTAATGTACCAATGCCATGCATGGACCTTGTTAAGAGAAATCTAAACAATACAAATATAGAAGAGTAGACAATTTTTTACATTTTAACTTTTGAAATAATTAATAATTTTTTATATTTTATATACTATTATTACTAGTTTTTTTTGCAATGCAAAAATAACAATAATTAATTTCAGCTAGAGTTGTTCATCAAACCAACCAAACCAACCAACCCATCCCAACTTGACCCGAGTTGGTCACTTTCTAGTATTTGCAACCGGCTTCGGTTTAGCTATTCCCCAACTTGACAAAGTCGATTTAGTTTTAGTTTGGTCATTTGTAAACCAACCAAAATCAAACCGACCCAACCATAAATATATATTAATATATATATTTTTTATATTTTAAATAATATTTTATATAGAAAAGTGGGAAAATTCCCATATTTCTTAGTTTAAAATATTTGGTATTATAAATTTAAAGTTTTTAATGCATTTTTAATAATATCATTGTAATTTTTTAAAATTAATTTTAATTTTTTAAGTTTAAATCTTTTGAACCAACTAACCAAATTGAAAGATGATTCAAACTGATATCAATGTTTTCAAGCCCTTGTTGACCTAGCTGATTGAAGCATTAAAATCATTACACTGCCTTGATTTTGGGTCCAGTTCTATTGAAAATCACCCTTCGGTCAAAAACCGCCCAACCTAGATAATTCAATTGCTGACATGTTCAACCCAGTCACTGGCTTGCAGGCTGCACACTTAATGCATGTCCAAACTTTCAGAGGTCATAACTTTGCACTCCAACGTCCCAAGGTGTCATGGATGCCTTGCCCTATTATTTCTACAAAAGAAAAACCTTTTTGGTTTCAAAGTGCAATTTTTAATATCTTTATAAATAAAAAATAAAAAATTGAATTAAAAAGCACAAATAAAATATAAAATAATACATATATTATATGTAAAATATAATTCTACACTATTGATTAATAAAATATGTATTTGCACACATACACACATATACACATTCATATATGCATATAAATATATATTTACTTAAATATATAAAGTGTTTGCATGGACAATTGAATTAGTGACTCACGATCCATATGCAAGAGAGGGTCTGTTTTTAAAATATTGATTTAAACAACTTGAGTTGGCCGGTTTTCTCTAATTGTTGGTAAGTTTTGAGTAACCAGCTCCCCAATACCTCTAGATTATTTAATCTATTGTTCACTATTTAAATAATACTAAAAATTTTTGAAATTGTTTATACTTTATAATCTTATAATCCAATATCATTAAATCTATTATAGCCAATTTTGTGATTTAGATAATTTTTTTAAAGTTGTTATATAATTTTGTTATTTAATCTATTCTTTTCCTTTTAAATAATGTTTAAAATATGATTTAGTTATTAAATTTTTTGATATTTAAAAATTAGTTATTTATAATATTATTTAGTTATTTTTTTAAATTATTTATATTTTATATTATTATTATTATTATCAAATATTATTAAATATATTATAATTATTTTTTTGTTTTTGAAAAATTTTTTAAAGTTATTATACAATTTCCTTATTTAATCTATTTTTTAAATAGTTTATAAAATAAGATAAGTTATGAAATTTTTTGTTATTTAAAGATTTAAAATTTAGTTACTTACAATATTATATAGTTATCTAAAGAATATCATTATTTATATTTTAAAAGTATTTATTATTTATTAAATTTAATAATCCATAAAATTATATATTATATTGTTATTACATAATTTCATTATAATTTTTAAATAAGAATTAAATTTTAGTCAAATTTCTTAAAGTAGCCCTACTATTTAGCTAATTGACTAACTTTACACTTACTATTTAACTATTGTCTTAGAGTACCTCTAAGTTTTCTAACAATTAACTAAAGCCTCCCCTTCCATTAAATTTTTGTCACACTCAATCACATACGACATCACGTGACCAATATTTTTTTTTTTGCAAAAATTCCAAAAATACACTTTTGAATCTGTCTCCTCACCTCTTTCCCCACACAGTGACTGTCAACCAAGGCCTTGCCACCACTGTAACCTCATCCCTTCCAAAAAATGAAGCTGAAGAAGGCACCTTTCCTCTGAATGAGGTTGTAGTTGGAGCTCTTGGGAGTAGAAAGAATAACCCTAACAATCCTAGAAGTAGATATGAAGATATGAGAGTTCATCTTCGATTGCTCTAGCAGAGATTAATCAAAAATTTTCAGATCCAATAACCAGACTCCATGATGAAAGACTCGGGCTCCATGCTCCTTCGGCGGTCAGATTCAATCCAAATATCGGATCTAAGTATTTCTTAGATCTAAGATTTGAGACTCCATGCTATCTCCCTCATGGGATCTCAGGTATGGTATCCCTCACCGAATCAATTCTGTGATCAGATATAGTCCAGATCTCAGACTCATGGAGACTCATGCCACTCCTTCGGCATCATTTGAAGGTCATTGGAATTTTGTGATCAAGAACTAGATCTCAATCTAGATCCCCTTTCCAATCTACGTTACAACCCTGATTCAGACATCAACATCAAATTGAAGCTCCTTTCTTCTCTCTTTCTCTCACAAAGATTTTCGAGAACCTAGTTGGTCAGAACTGCACATCATCATGACCACCCCCTTTTCGATATGCACATTGAAACCCATAATTGGGCATCGACATCAAACTAAACCTCATTTCTTATCTCTTTCTCTCGCATAGATTTTCGAGAACTTAGTTGGTTGCAATTGCATATCATCGTGACCACCCCTTTCCGATTTGCACATTGTAACCCAAAATTGGGCATCACACTCCTTGCGCTTGGACGTGCTTTGTTCCGTGACGGTGGTGCTCTATCTCTCCATTTGTTGAAATAGGAAGGAGAGTGGAAAAGGACAATAGGGGAGAGAGAGAGAGAGAGAGAGAGAGAGAGAGAGAGAGGTTACAACTCTGGTTCAATATTGAACATTCAAAATATGGGAGAACAGTAAGAGAGAAGATATGAAATAGGGAGTGTGTGATTGAAGAGGAACCACAGAGACAATAGGAAAGAAAGAAAAAGCGGGAAAATGAGAGAAAATTGAGTGGAAAAGAGTGGAAGAGAAAGAAAAGATGGAACAGGAGAACAACTGTTGCCACTGGTTTGAGTTGTAGTGGCAGTGGTTGGAAATGGTATCAATGGTGGTAAGGAGCAAGGGTGAGAGAGAGAGTGATGAGAATCTTCACCACCACTGGGTCCAATAGATTATCATGTTGATGGAGAGAGAGAGACAATGGGATAGAGAGAGAAATGAGAGAGCAAGAAGAGGTCGGGGAGGGAATTTTTCTCTTAACTTAAGGGGCAAAAAGGATATTTCATCCTTTTCCATTATGGTTTAACGGCAATAACAATTGTTAGAAATAGTATGGCTGGTTTAAGACAATAGTTAAACAGTAAGGGTAGAGTTAGTCAATTAGCTAAATAGTAGGTGTAGTTTAAGAAATTTGCCTAATTCAAATTTCTTTCGATAGTTATGGAGGAAAAGAGGGGTAGAGGATAAATATGGATTCGAGATAATTTAGGATAAAGTGTGGGATAATGGTTCCAAGTGGCTAATGGGGAATAGGAATAAATTAGAGTAAGGATTAACTATACAAAGGATTCTTATATTTTTGCTAAAAAATAGGTGCTTACTATATGTGTTTTATTGGTTTCCTAAAAGAGAGAGAAAAAAGATAGATTATCATGCTAAACTGGCAGCTCTATGGATTTCTAGAGTGAACTTTGCACCCACTATGGAATTGCTTGGTTGGGGCAATGAAGCAAAGAGAGGCCATCTGATGTGGCAAGCTCTACTTTAGTATATATAGATTGGGGTGAGGATGTTTGGCGAGCTAACTCTCCAATACGTAGTTAATTTTGTTGAAATGACATTTTAGCCCCTATTTCATAAATCCATATAAAAATTGGTTTATTTATTTCAAAGGAATTTGCCACATCACTATTTTGAGATACATATTGATCCACATGTAATGCAGGTGGAATCGTGGATTGCGACGTGGGCTCACACATGGCACTATTACAAGAATAATATTAATAATAATAGTAATAAAAATAATGACAACAACAACAATAATGATAATAATTATAATAAATTTAAAAATATCTGCATTAATTAATAATATAATAAAAATAATGAAAAACAACATAAATAAATAAGGAATACTATTACAAAATAGTATATAATACATCTAAAGAGTAAAGTACTTTCAAAAGCAATTATCATTAAGTACTTTCAAAAAAGAAATTTTGGAAATACTTTCATAATAATAAAAATAATGATGATGATGATTAACACCAACACACTATTAATTATTTTTATGCAAAAAGTAGCAACAAAAAATAAAAAAATCATATTATTCCAAAAGTAAAAAATATGCATTATGTAACAAGAAAAGAATTAATAGTGTTTGTATTTCAATTATTAACATTTTGCAAGAACAATTAAAAGTCAAAACAAAATTAAAAAAATACGA